AGTGTTGCATCCACTCTGAGCACATCTACACTATGTGGAAGATCGACACGCCTGTGTTCGATCTTCCAGGGTTTGATTTAATGGGTCTAGTAAAGACCCAATAAATCGAACCCGGAGGGTGCCCCCATCAGCATTGGCAGTCCTGCTCCTCACCAAGAGTAAGGGAAGCCGACAGGAGCATTTGCTCCCATTGATCTCCCGCTGTGTGGATGGTGTGGAAATGCTATTTGAGATACGTTCACTCCAGCCATATAATTAATGTAGCTGAAGTTGCATATCTTAATTTGACCTTCTGCTATAGTGTAGACCAGGCCACTATGAGGGCCTGCTTGCTGCAACCCTTCTGTCTGGAGCTCCAGACGCACACCCTGTCACTTCCTACCTTCTCTCTCTGCCTTCCCTCTCCACTCCCCAACACTTTTTCCTTCTGGAGCAATCAGCACTTCCCCGCCCTCAGGAAAAAGATTTAGAGACGACATCATGCTCTTTAAACCCCATGGTATTAGCTAGCAACATTAAATGATCATGTTGGCTCTTTGTTTTGTTTGTATGGCAGCAAAGGCTAATAAGTGGCTATATTTCTTCTTAATGACCGCTAAACTTGATTCAGAGGGATTTCTCTGAAACTCCTTCCTGTGTTGCACTAAGAAAAAGAGCTTCTATTTTCTAAATATTTCAGGCTTTTGTGAGTGCCGAAAAAAATAAGACCTTTTTTAAAAGAAAAAAAACTCAGCTCTAGGATTGGCGCCATAAACTTGGAGTCTGGAGCTTGAATTTTCCCAGAAATTTGAGGTTGTTGAGTTCCGGGGCTTTGATTCAACCCATTAAAGCATTTGGATCTAGAACCAAACAGCTGCAGATTTCAGAACCAGGTGGCTTGGGGTTTTTTTCTCTGGCGCCCTCTAGATCAGACCAGTGGGTCACAGTCACAGGGTGGCTGGTCCCTGTGACTGATGCGGGTCCAGCTCCCCTGTGTCAAAAGAGCTGGATGAGGTCCCAGAAGGAAACAGGAGGTACACCCTGGGGGAAGGCTGAATGCAAAGAGCATCCCCAAGCCAGAGAGCCAGGGCTGGAGATGACGGAAGTCAGAGGAGCAGCAGAGGAGCATATCCTCTTACATCTTCAGGACTGGAGAACTGGAGCTTAGGAACCATAAGAGGGGCAGAGGGAGTGAGGAGGCATCCCTGGCAAGAATGCTCCCCAGCAGCGCAGCTGGAGGGGACAGCTGCTGGGAAGAGAGGAACAAGGACAAGAGAGGTTGGATAGAGACCCCAAGTGAGGGCAGAGATGCCAGTCTGCGGGGCATCAAGGGAGGAAATGTATTACGTTTTAATGACTACTTGCACAGGAGTAGAAATGGACTGTGCCTGGGAACTTGTTTGGGACCATTATAGGCAAGCAACACGGGAATGCAGGGGCAAGATTAGAAAGGCAAAGGCACAAAATGAGATCAAACTAGCTACAGGCATAAAGGGAAACAAGAAGACCTTTTATAAATACATTAAAAGCAAGAGGAAGACCAAGGACAGGGTAGGCCCACTGCTTAGCGAGGAGGGAGAAGCAGTAACAGGGAACTTGGAAATGGCGGAGATGCTCAATGACTTCTTTGTTTCAGTCTGCACCGAGAAGTCTGATGAAGAAATGCCGAACAGTGAATGCTAGTGGGAAGGGGGTAGGTTTAGAAGATAAAATAAAAAAATAAGTTAAAAATCACCTAGAAAAGTTAGATGTCTGCAAGTCACCAGGTCCTGATTAAATGCATCCTAGAATACTCCAGGAGCTGATAGAGGTGGTATCTGAGCCTTTAACTATCATCTTTGGAAAATCATGGAAGACAGGAGAGATTCCAGAAGACTGGAAAAGGGCAAATATTGTGCCCATCTATAAAAAGGGGAATAAGAACAACCCAGGAAACTACAGACCGGTCAGTTTAACGTCTGTCCCAGGGAAGATAATGGAGCAGGTAATTAAGGAAATCATATGCAAACACTTGGAAGGTAATAAAGTGATAGGGAATAGCCAGCATGGGTTTATGAAGAACAAGTCATGCCAAACTAATCTGATACCTTTCTTTGATAAGATAACGAGCCTTGTGGATAAGGGAGAAGCGGTGGATGTCATATACCTAGACTTTAGTAAGGCATTTGATACGGTCTCGCATGATATTCTTATTGATAAACTAGGCAAATATAACTTAGATAGGGCCACGATAAGGTGGGTGCATAATTGGCTGGATAACCGTAGTCAGAGAGTTGTTGTTAACGGTTCTAAATCCTGCTGGAAAGGGATAACAAGTGGAGTTCCGCAAGGGTCTGTTTTGGGACCCGTACTGTTCAATATCTTCATCAATGATGTAGATATTGGGATAGAGAGTACGCTTATTAAGTTTGCAGATGATACCAAACTGGGTGGGGTTGCAACTTCTTTGGAGGATAGGGACATAATTCAAAATGACCTTAGCAAGTTAGAGAAATGGTCAGAGGTAAACAGGATGAGGTTTAATAAAGAGAAATGCAAAGTGCTCCACTTAGGAAGGAACAATCAGTTCCATACATACAAGATGGGAAGCGACTGTCTAGGAAGGAGCATGGCAGAAAGGGATCTAGGGGTCATAGTGGACCACAAGTTGAATATGAGTCAACAGTGTGATGCTGTTGCAAAAAAAGCAAATATGATTCTAGGTTGTATCAACAGGTGTGTTGTAAGCAAAACTCGTGAAGTCATTCTGCCGCTCTACTCTGCACTAGTTAGGCCTCAGCTGGAGTACTGTGTCCAGTTCTGGGCGCCACATTTCAAGAAAGATGTGGAGAAATTGGAAAGGGTACAGAGAAGAGCAACAAGAATGATTAAAGGTTTAGAGAACATGACCTATGAAGCCAGGCTTCATGAACTGGGCTTGTTTAGTTTGGAAAAAAGAAGATTAAGGGGGGACATGATAGCGGTTTTCAAATATCTAAAAGGGTGTCACAAGGAGGAAGGAGAAAATTTGTTCCTCTTGGTTTCTGAGGACAGGACAAGGAGTAATGGGCTTAAAGTGCAGCAGGGGAGGTTTAGATTGGACATTAGGAAAAAATTCCTAACTGTCAGGGTGGTCAAATATTGGAATAAATTGCCAAGGGAGGTGGTGGAATCTCCCTCTCTGGAGATATTTAAGAACAGGTTAGATAGACATCTGTCAGGGATGGTGTAGACAGAGCTTGATCCTGCCTTGAGGGCGGGGGCAATGTTCTATAATAACCCAGCTGTCTGGCTTTCGACCAAACACTTGGTAGAAAAGGAATCTTGGCGGCACAGCCATCCTGTCCATAAGACAGTTTGGGCTGGACACACCAGGCTCTGCGCTTTGGGAGGCCCTATGGCAGCTGCCTCAACCATCCTATGTATGGAACCCATGGAATTAACTGGGGGCCTGGCACCGGCCTCACCAAGGGATGGCGCAGTAGACTGCAGCATGGAGCAGGCTGCCAGGCCACTTAGGCTTCCAGTCTGTGCTGCTGCCTCATGCCAGGCCAGGGGGAGGGAAAGGGGTGGAGAGGGGCGGAGCAGGTCCAGGATTTGGGAAAGAGGGAGAGTGGGACTGGGCACTGGGTGGGGAGGTTGCCCCAGGCTCCGTGCCCCCAGAGGAACAGCCATGCCTGGAGGCTCTAGTCAGTGCCACTGACCAGACTGTTGATTGTCCAGTTGATGGTGCCACAAGGGGGGGGCTGGCAGGCTCCCTGCTAGCTTCCACATGGCATGTCTGTCCTCCGCTTCCTATATGTAAGGGCAGCCAGGGGGCTCTGCACCCTGCTCCTTCTCCAGTGCTCCCTCTGCTGTTCCCATTGGCTGGGAAATATAGCCAATGGGAGTTGTGGTGGTGCCTGCAGATGGGCCAGGATGCAGAGCTGCCTGGCCTCACCTCTGCATAGGAGCTGGAAGGGGGAGGGGCCAGCTGCTTCCAGGAGTTGCTTGAGATTGGCGCCACTCGGAGACTGTATCTGTGACCCTCTCCCAGGCCCCAACACTCTCCCCCAGCCCCTGGCCCTGAGGTTCCCCACCCCTGTTGTAAAAGGTAAAGTAGCAGACTCACTGAAGGGAGGGATAGCTCAGTGGTTTGAGCATTGTCCTGTTCGCTCCCCAGGGCTGTAAGTTCAATTCCTGAGGGGGCCATTTAGGGATCTGGGGCAAATCTGTCAGGGATGGTACTTGGTCCTGCCATGAGGGCAGGGGACTGAACTCAATGATCTCTCCAGGTCCCTTCCAGCTCTATGAGTTAGGTATATCTCCATAACTGTTTATTTACAGACAACCAAAAAATACAGATTGCACACAGTGAGGCTCACTGATGAATGGACAGACCTCCTAGAAGTAAATACAAAGTAGTTTTGCTTGTAGGGCCCTGAGTCAGCCAAGTGTGTAAGCATGTGCCCGTGTTCCCTCAAAGTCAATGGAACTACAGCACCCGTTTAAAGTATTGCTGAATCAGGACCGAAAAAGAGGAGACCGGATCTCTATTCTTGTGTTGAAACAATCCCTGAAAATGAATCTCCTCATGTGTAAGGTTATCCAGGTGTGTAAGTGTTTACAGAATCAGAGCTTTAGTGTGCCAAGCTTATGAAGTTTTATTCTTTACCCCAAACATTTTTAAAGGAACTTTCTAAATTGCAATTCACTGCTTTATCCAATCAGAAGTTTGTGCAAAGTAACCTTCTCTTTTGTTGTTTTGCCTTATCTCTTGGTTTGTGACTAGATTTGTGAAATTACTGGCACCGACACCAAGAAGTTGGAAGCAAAGATTGAAGAACTAATGTAGTCCCCGCAGAAAACAAAAACAGAGGTGTTCCAGTAAAACTCACTTTCCGTAGGCTCATATGTATCCATTTTCTTTCAGTCCAGTTATTCAGAATTAATACATCAAAAGTATGAAGATTCTGATCTGTATATGAAGGAGTTAAGGTACGAGAATGGAACTTAAGAGATCTGGGTTCATTCTTGGCAATGAGACAATATAGGACTCAGCTTTGTACAGGCAGTCCCTGACTTACGCGGATCCGACTTATGTCGGATCCGCACTTACGAATGGGGCTTTTCTCGCCCTGGAGCTCACGGGCGGTGAGTCTCCCTGGTCTGCTGGGGGGGTCCAGCAAAGCCGCTGGACCCCCCCAGCAGACCAGGGACACCCGAGCAAAGCTGCTGCCTGGGCGGCTTTGCTCCTTTGCCCAGGCGGTGGCTTTGCTCGGATGTCCCTGGTCTGCTGGGGGGGGCCAGTGGCTTTGGTGG